GGTTAGGGAAAGGTACTTTGAAAATGTATGTTTTATTTCCGTAGACTTTATGTACAGTTGTACCCTGCTTTACGCGGTCAATTGAACCCACAGGGTACCGCGTTAAGTGAACAACAGAACATATGGGATTAATTCCAATAGAGACTGGCCCGACCCCCAAACTCCACTTTTTGACGACACACAACTATGTTGTAGTAAAAATTTTATCTTAACTTTATGATGGTATGAACAAACAAGTAATATAGAAGAGGTTAGGTTAGGAAAAATAAAGGTTAAGTTAGGAAAAATAAAGGTTAGATTAGGAAAACTAAAAGTTCGGTGTAACACTTACGTTAGTAGAAGAGATGGGTCGGCATACGGGGATGGAGGCGGAGGGGAGGGAGGGAGGAGGAGGATGGAGAGGCGAGGCAGGCGGGAGCGGGTGGCGGGTGGGGCGAATCTAAAAATAGCGTCTCGAGCCGGACACTGCGCGTATATGGGTAGATGAACCGCGTTAAGTGAAAGTTCGGTTCTGGCGAGGCACCGCGTATATGACAAATCGTGTTAAGTGAAACCACGTAAAGCGGGGTACAACTGTACTGTACTGTATTAACCGACCTTTTGAATTATCCGTCGGCCCCTTCCCCCCATACCATATGTGGTCGGTTAATCGAAGTTTTTCTGTGTATATATATATGTATGTATATATATATATATATATATATATATATATATATATATATATATATATATATATATATATATATATATATATATATATATATATATATATATATATATATATATCATGTAGATCCACAATGAAAACGTGGATAAGATAAATCTTGATAAAATCACACGGGAAAAGGGAAACATGAGAAATGGCCAAAACTACAAATTTAAGGTATACAGAAAGCCCACACAGGTAGACAGTTTCATACACTTTTTATCGAATCACCTGGGGTCTACCAAAATGTCAGTTTTTTCTGCTATGTTCTTAAGATGTCTGCATATTTGTGACTCTGAATTTATTGACGATGAATTGAAACACATTCGTTCCATTGCACAGAAACTCGGGTACCCTTCTGTGTTTGTTGATCGTTGTTTTAAAAGGGCTAAAAAATCCTTTCATTCCTCTCAAACCAGGCAAATTCCTACACTTAAGAATATTTTGACTCTGCCCTATCGTAATGAATTTGTCCCGTTAGTTCGGTCCCTCAAGCTACTAAATATTAATGTTGTTTTCAAGTATGACTCAACCATTACCAATATGTTAATAAGAAATAGCCCAAGTTTGAATGTAAATGGAAGTGTTTATTGTATTCCATGCAGCAAATGTAATTGTAATTATGTAGGACAGACAGGAAAAACACTGCAGCTCAGAATCAAACAACATAAGTACAATATCAGAACAGCATCTGAAAGCAGTGCCTTGTTCATTCATGTTAGGAATAATAATCATCCCATTGCTTTGGAAAAAGCTTAGAAGTATTTAAATCATCTTGTGTCACAGAAAGACTTCTGGTTGAAGCTAGTTTGATTAAGGAATTAAAATCAATAAACCTTAGTGATGGTCAGTTCAAAACTGATAATATGTTACATAAATTTATTTGTCAGTGGCCCAAGGTTAAAAATGCTAAGAAAACCTTTGATCTAGATGTATGATAGTTATTTAGTGGGTCCCTTATTTTTGACCTGACCTGACTAATCACGTCACCCCACTTCTCTTAAGCTCCTCTAAGTGTGTGTTGGTGTGGGGATTTGTGGATGACATCATTATGACCTGACCTCATGTTTTTAAGGTCACCCTGTATATTTAAGCCTCTCTCTGTCCATGTAATCCAGTTGCCTCTGAAGATGTCTTGAATAAAGACGAAAGCTAAGGTGCTCCGTTGTTTCCCTTTTCCCGTGTGATTTTATCAAGATTTATCTTATCCAACGTCTTCATTGTGGATCTACATGAGATATATATATATATATATATATATATATATATATATATATATATATATATATATATATATATATATATATATATATATATATATATATATATATATATATATATATATATATATATATATATATATATATATATATATATATATATATATATATATATATATATATATATATATATATATATATATATATATATATATATATATATATATATATATATATATATATATTTTAGCGGGAGAGAAAAGGAGAGAAGAGAAGACAAATGCTGCATTTAGCACGTTAAAGGGGTAAGATGCAGTTTCTTAGAACAATTTTTTAGGGGGGGTCGTATGCATATTTTCTCAGCACATGAGGACAGTGCTGTCTTTTTTTAGGGGGGTCGATTGTAATATTCAGAAATTTCAGAGTAATTTCGAATGCCCCGCCATTGCGATACTGAGCGTTCAAGGTCGTCGGAGGGAAGAGAGCGCTCCCTGCACATAGCGAGAGGTTGTGGAACTAGGCCTAAGTGATATTAAATGTAATTTGCCGAATTAATAATGATGCGATTCATGAAGTTAAGGGACTATTATTGAATTTGAAATTATTATAGATCGTTTATCAGTCTGAATAATGTTACGGGTGTCCCAAGGAGTTATTAGTTAGGCGGAAAATATGTCACGTAGGCCTAAGCTAACGCCTTGAGAGGAGACGCGACGCTGGCTGGTCCTCAGTCACGGGAGCATTCAGACAAACAAGACGTCCCTGCGCGTCTGTCACAGAAATAGTCACGTGGCCTACTGCGCTATTGCAGTATAACAAGTAAGTCTCATTCAATCTCAGACAGGGTTTAGATAGGGCAGTGATAAAGTAAACTAGAGCTAACAGTGAGTTCATTTCAGGGTTTCCGTCAGAACCCACTTGACCGGAGTTGACTGCGAGAGTGATGACCTCGAGAGATTGACTGCCGTTTGAGACTGCCGTTGATGATTGAGGGTGGCGATTGTCGCCATTGGACCGATCAGTGTAGGCCTGTCACTGTTTAGCGGGGTATCAAAGGATCTCTTGAGGGAATCTAGCCGTCTGGGTGCGCAGCTGACGACGGGATGATCGTTGGGTCAGCAGCTCTCCTCTACCTCGGCTCACAACACCACATGACTCGAGCAGCTTAGTGAAATCCTCTTGCTAACGGGAAGCTAAAGCTTCTCTCAACTGTACAAGGTCTGATTGGCTCACTCCCTTCCGCTGTATGGATGCACTGGGATTACACTGAGGCTATCTGAGTAAATTAATGGTCACACACTGAGACCATGAGTCTCGGACTCTAGGAGATACCTAGATGAACATTTTATCTCCCTTATTACGGGTGTATGTTGAGTTGGGTGGAGCATGGTTCACGAGTATTGGTGGACCCAGTAACATATTAATAATAGTGAATACATTTGGGGGTAGTTAATACCATTTCTCAGTTACTGATATTATCTTGACGTGTGTAGTTTAATATTTCTTAAATAATTTTGATAGTATTGTTTTTTGAATGTTTGTGTCATTAAGTGGAACCAGAGTGATACTGTGATTTGATTCTTTTAATGCATCTAATTTTTCTTCATAAATCCGATCTCAGGTATAACCTTTGTTCCCCAGAGTAGTGGTTAAGTTAGGTTAGGAAGTGTGCATCTGTTGGGGTGATATAATTTTGTTGAGTGCCCTTAAGGCCTATTCATTGTAGGGTATTTAATTTCTTATTTTTTATTACCATTTCCTCAGTGACTGATACTATTTTGTTGAAAGCCCTTAAGGCCTATTCATGGTAGAGTATTTAATTCCTTATTTTTTATTACCATTTCCTCAGTGACTGATATTATTTTGTTGAAAGCCCTTAAGGCCTATTCATGGTAGAGTATTTAATTTCTTAATTTTTAATACCATTTCCTAAGTGACTGATATTATTTTGGTGAAAGCCCTTAAGGCCTATTCATGGTAGAGTATTTAATTTCTTAATTTTTAATACCATTTCCTAAGTGACTGATATTATTTTGTGAAAGCCCTTAAGGCCTGTTTCATGTGTGCAAGCAACATTTCTTAATACTTCAAATTTATTGTTGCCTGTGTTTCTAATAATTTCTATGTCATTTATAACTTTTATTCCCCAGAGTAGTGTTTTAAGTTTAAGTTAAGAGGTGCGCATATTGGTGTACCATTATTTGATTGTGTTTGTAGTGTTGGAGGGAATATAAGTGTCTAAATTTTACGGGTGTGTCTTATCTATCCAGTCCCAGACGCTATCCTTCCACGGGTCACGGACACCATTTTGTTTAGTAGATTTATGTTCTGTGTTGGTTCGGGATTTTTCAAAGGGCGCCTTCCCACTGCCATTACTATCCTATAATCTTTTTAATAAACCCCAAGTCCAGTAAATTCCGACTGGTTATATATATATATATATATATATATATATATATATATATATATATATATATATATATATATATATATATATATATATATATATATATATATATATATATATATATATATATATATATATATATATATATATATATATATATATATATATATATATATATATATATATATATATATATATATATATATATATATATATATTGACTTATTTTGGTCAGTGGTTAACCATTATCCTCAAGTATTACTCAAACATAATTCCATCTTCACTCATGACGCTTGAAGTACATCTAGCAACTATCACATAAGTCGATCTCTGCTGATTTCTTCTTCTCTTGTGATTGGTTGATAATTTTGTGAACTGAGCGACGATTTGCCAACTAGCTCCTACACTGCCTTATACCTTCGTATTCATATATGAGAACTGAATTTACAGGGTAAACACTAGAGTTATGGACTGCTTACGGGACTATAATTAAATTTTGAGTATGAGAAATTTATGGGACTGTAAGGAGTCTGTAAGTTATGGTACTGTATCTCTGCTACTGTACATAACTGATGAGGTGTTTTGAGTGTGCTGTACTGTAACTGTGATTGAAAATAGCTATTATATTAAAAGTAATTTTTTTGGTTAATGTCTATGTTTGTTGCAGGTCTTGATGAGGATGTAACATGTAGCAGACTGCAACAACTTCCAAACTTGTGAGTAATTGATGCAGTTTTTCTTCCTGATTTTTAAAACAATGGCAATAGTTATTTCTTAGTACAGTACAATACAATATAGTAGGTTGCTTAATTTTCTTGGCTACTTTTTAAGTGACATATATACAGGGGGTCCCCGACTTACGAGCGCCCGCCAATATGAACGAGGTTAAATTTAAAATTTACAATATTTTATTTACCTGATGACTTATTTTTTACTTTCTTTTTCTGTATTTTGTCATTCAATTTCTAATTTTATCTTAAATTAAGTGATTTTAGATGTACGTATATAAGGACTTAAGCTATGGTATACAGGTAGTGGGATTTTTATACAGTGTTCTGTTAGCATGGTATGTGCATAGCATGTGTTCCGAGTTACGTTCAAATCTGACTGAAGAACGTCCTCAAGAACGGAACCCATTTGTAACCCCTTTAAAAAGTCCATAATTGTTTTATAAGTCACCAACCTTAGTTGTGTTGAGTACAGGTAATTAAATACAGTACTATACCTGTAAATTTATTGGCCACTCTTCACACAGAAAACCGAGTGTTTTTAGTGTCACTTGCTTTGGTTCCACAAGGAATACAACATTGTATTAGGAGGGTAACTTTGGCCATCATTAAACCTATGAGAAAATGTAAATGTAAACATTTAGATAAAGTACATCATTTAGTAGCTTTATAATGAGGTGTTGACACCCAAAGCCATACTGGATTATCAAGCATCAACTCTTATTGTTTTGTAATAGGCTTATATCTCCTAGATTTTGTGTTAATATTTTGTAATACAGAGAAATGATGTTAAGTTGTGATATTTTAGTGACTTTAGTTTTTATTAAGTTGTACTGTATGTGTTAGTGACTCACTTGTAGTTAAGTTGTTCTAAGTTGATAAATTAACAGTGGTTAAGTTGTAGTCAGTGACTTACAGGGAGCTAAGTTGTAATAGTTTAGTGGCTTATTTGTGGTTAAGTTGTTACCTGTTCGTGACTCACCTGTGGTTTGTGCATGCAGGTGGGTGAGGTGCCGAGCAGCGGAGGTCAAGATGGAGGGTCCAGACAGCCGGCCCCCCCAAATATCCCCTTCCCTCCCCCCACCAGCCATAGCAGCAGACTCCCAGCAGACCCCACCCTCACCTCCACTAGAGCCGTCGCCCACCTCCCCCATGCAGTCCCTCCCACACACCCCGCCACGCCATTCACCTCTGCCTCACACGCCCATTACGCCACACACGCCCTTACCCCACACCCCCCTCACTCCACACAGCCCCCTCACTCCCCTCACCTCCCAGAGCACTTTAGCATCAGAGGCCTCTATGGACTCTGGGGTGGCATCCGCACATTCACTGGATCTCTTACACAACAGTAACAACAGCTTGGAGACTCACGCACTCCGCAGGAGGGTAAGCATCTACCACTAGTGCAACCAGAACACTAGCACTACCTAGACTGCTTTTGATTTACCAATTCCCAAAGTTTAATGACTCTTTAGAGTTATTTTCACATCTGGATTGCCAATACTGTACTCAGCTGTACCTGTACCTTATAAAGCTGTTTCTACATATCAATTGCCAACACCTAAAGCATAATGACTGTATAAAGTTATGTTTGCTTTTTATTTGTCAGTTCACCCAAGCAACTTTGGTTTTTATGTTTGTATGTGCATGTCACACCATAACCCAAATTCATAGATACCTCTATTACCTTCAGATAGATTTATATTGACTTACATCACTGCCCAGCAACATATTTTTGGGTGATCATAATGTGTTATTTTTCTTGTATTTATTAAGTGTATCTTTCATGTATAATCTTGGAGTGTTTCTCAGTATAACTCCTGACAATATATTTCATGTAAATTATGAACTTAAGAGAGTATAAAATTAAATCTTATGTGAACTTAAGTTTTTATGTCTTGTGTGATCTGAGAGTGAATAGGTATACATCTTGGAAAATTATATTTTTTTAAGATAATTTAACCTTACCTTTGAGAAGGATGTGAACAGTCATCCTCTGGTATCACCATAGGAGAGACAGTACTAGTATCTGTACAGACTGTGCCACCTAAGCACTCATAAATATTATTTTCCCATTCTGAAACACACACTCAAGAAGCAGTTCATTGGTTAGCGAGGTTAAATTAATATTTGATCTTTCGTTATAATATGAGAGTGAACATGAAATCAAGCTGTATTTCCTCCATTGAATATCGTCATTCCTGGTACAGTATTGGGAGTTTGAAGTGACCTTCTTATGTACTGAAGACTGACTGCTGGCTTTGTAAGTGAGTGTGTTTCTATTCTGCACAAGCTGTATATGTATTTCCGTAAATAACTCATCCTTTTTCTCATTATCTAATTTCGTAGCACATGCAAATGATAACTTTTTCTCTTGTTTGATATCCAAACCACATGTAGATTTTCAATATTCAGTATATATATATATATATATATATATATATATATATATATATATATATATATATATATATATATATATATATATATATATATATATATATATATATATATATATATATATATATATATATATATATATATATATATATATATATATATATATATATATATATATATATATATATATATATATATATATATATATATATATATATATATATATATATATACATACATACACACAGAAGCGCTTATGTAATATTTTCGTTTTCCCACATGGGGGCCAGTTATCAAAGTTTCAAGGAAGATATTACATGTTTCACCCTGATCCAAATGCAGAAAAAGTGCTGTGAAATTGAATAATTGATTTATGAGGCCTTTAATACTAAGAAACTGTCCTTCATTGCAGGCTGGGAGCAGCGTGAGTAGTGGGACGAGTGAGGTGTGGTTGGGCTCCCTGGACGGTGATCCAGCTGGCCTGGAGGTCCTGCCAGAGCTGTGGCCTCACTCTGAGAGCCCCACAGCACTAGCACATAGTCCATCCCCCTCACACCACAGCCCCTCCTCTCCGCGTCACAGCCCAACTCCGAGTCACCACAGTCCTACGATCTCCTGTCACAGCCCGTTACCTACCCACCAGAGCCCCACCATCCAGCATCATCTCCTCCCACCCCAAGAAATAGACGTCAGTGGGCCTGCTGTGCCCGTTGTAGGTCAGGACTGCGAGTGGCATCCCTCATCCCCAAGAGACAACCCCAAGGAAGCTTTTTCATCTGTGATACCACTTCACCCTAGTGCCCTAAGTCCTCACACAGGCCCACTGAGGCCAGGAGTTGAACAAGCTGGAGAGAACAGGCAAAATTGTGTAATAACTGTGAACTCAGCTCCTAGTAATGGTAAATTGCAAAGTGAACGAGTTTTTGCAGAATTTTGTGCAAGTGATGAGGCATTTTATGATAAAAGGTTTTATATAAAAGACTCTCAAGCATTGTTAAAAGAGAATTATAATTTAAATGGTATGTTAAGGAAAACTAAAGAAGCAAACAATCTAACAGCTACAGGTAACAATGATGTGGAATGCATGGCTAGGGAAGGCTGTGTGTGGATTGACAAGTTTGCTTCGTTATTTGTGAAACAGGTCATAGAGGAGGCTCTCACAGTGAGTTCCTCCATCGGTTGGTCTATTAAGTGTTCAGGCCAGTGTCAGCGTGAGCAGTGTCGGGAAGAATATCAAAGAAAAGAGAGCAGTTGGTGGACTGTGGGGGGAGGCAAAGGTAATCGTAAATCCAGCATCCCTCTTTTGGGACTGTCTTGTGGAAGCCCTGGTTTGTGCTGGACCCCAGAGCTGCCCTACAGTCCTTCACACAGACCGCACTCCAGATCTTCTTTGGGCTCTAGCCTTTCCTTCTCCCATGACTCGCTGGTAAGTTCCGGCCCTCGCATGGATGACTCTCACCTCATCACCGGCGCTGTGTCACACGATGCCTTGCTCTTTCCTACTTCCAAAACCTCCCACAGTGATGTAAGTGACATTTATAATGTGCCACTGGATGGAGATATCTATGCAGTGCCAGTAGATGTAGTAAAGCCTAAGGAGGGGCAAATATTACACCCAAAGGCCATTATGCATCAGCCCAAAAAAAGACATCATAGGAGGCATGCTAAGAACAGTGCCAGTGCCAGTGTGTTAAATGATAGCAGTTCAAAAAAAGTAAGTACTTCAGAACATGTTAGTGGCAGCAGACAGTTCAAAGAAAGTAGTGTAACCAGAAGCAGACAGCATTCTGGCCAGTCAGTCGCGTCTGTCAGCGGCGACTTGTTGCGAGTCAGTAAGCGTCATAGTGTGCCCAGTAACATTGGTTGTGCTCTGAGCATGACTCCTAAACATGGTGCAAGTAAAGAAAATCACGAGCCTATACACATGACTCTGGAAGAGGTCAGAAAATCTTTCCATGAGTCAGATGATACAATAAACTGTAGTAAGGCTAATAGGGTTCAGCAGAGTAATAAAGGTGTTCACGAACAGTCTAAAATATGCAGAATAATTCCGTTTACATCAATGAAGTCGTGTAAAAGAAAAGATAGTTCAGAAAATCGTCTTGAGGATAACCGAAAGAAAGGCAGAAGTATATCTAGTAACATTCGTAACACTCTAATTACCATATTTGGCCTCAAGAAAGGAACTAAATCCAGTGGCACAAGATTGAAAAGTGGGAGCTGTGTGGATGCTGCAACTCAGGGATTTTCAGAAATTGCAGGCAACGGGACCACAACCCTTGTCTGCTCCCCCGCCTCAGGTCCGCAACCCAACCATACAGCCAACCAAGCAACAACCACCATCACCAGAAACAATCACAATCAGCAAAACCACCACAGCAACCACCGCCACTCTAATGGCATCAATACCGGCTTATTATCATGCCTAGGCAATCTTAGGACAGAAACAGATGACCAACCAGCAACCATAGCTAACGTGCCACAGCAAAATCATGCTCCATCACGCTCTCCAGCCATTGTAACAAACAGAGCATTACCTCCCCTACCTTTGCCTGCTGCTGGGGAGGACGACACCTCCGCCAAGAATACCCAGACTGAGGTCGGAGGAGATCGCAGGGAGGAGGAGGGCTGCGATTTTGCATCAATAATAGAAAAAGTGAAAGATGTAAGTTAAGACCAGTTGCTGTTCTGTTGAATCATGAGTTATTAATGTCTTCCTCTCATTAAAGTATTATATAATTTTCCTTTATAAAAGTATAACAAAGGCATTGTTATAGTCAGAATGTTTATGTGAGTGTGTAACAGCCTTAGTGGTTATGGCTGCTAGTACAGTACAGTGGTCCCTCGGTTAACGAGCACAATTCGTTCTAGAAGGTTGCCATTTAACCGAAAACTCTTTAACTGAAACCATTGTTTCAATGGGTTTTTGGGTAATTGGTTCCAGCTCACCAAAAATTGCCTAAAATCAACAAAAAAGGTAGTAAAGTACACTCACTTTGAGGTATGTATGTAGAAGACTCCTGGATGATGATGATGATGATGATGGGAATTAGAATGGGGGTGGAGGAGAAGGGAGAAGAGAAGGCATTGGGGTGGAAGAGAAGTCACCCCATGGCACCATTTCACCCATAAAATTTTAGTTCTCTTGGTGTAATTCAAGATTATTTTCTTTAAATCAACACTGCTTTGCATTATATATTGTCAATATGTAAAATAAATTTCAAAATGACCAATAATTTGCTTGGAAACACAGAAAAAAGCATCTAGTTGAAGAGAGTCTCAAGCAAGATGTTACCTCCACTGAAAAGACACAGCGACTGATGCCTGTATGGTGTGTTGACAGGCTGTATGGCGCGCAAAAAACTAGCTTCCTATACTTCAATTATGTTCAATAATTGTTGAAATGACTAAAAAATTTAATATAAAACTTTTAAAATTATTGAATAGTATAAATTTCTTGATATTTACTAAAATAGTAAGGAATTTAAGCCCTAGAACCGATTACTGTATTGGCGGACTAATACTACAGCTGGTGGACCGCCAAATGCAAGCGAAAACATGTTGAGGTCGGCTCGTAAAAATCTCGTTAATCGAGGGATTGCTCGTTAACCGAAGTTAAGAATCTTATGGAAGGTAACTCGTTAACCGAAGTCTCGTTAACCGAGGCGCTCGTTAACCGAGGGATCACTGTACTGTACTTGATCACTAGTCCTTTTGAAGGCACTGTAAGTGGCAGGGAGCTTTTTTGAATCACAGTTGAATGTTTTTGCTTTGTTTTATGTAGCAACTTATTATATTCACTTCTGGTTATATGGAGCTGTAGCTAAGAGCCCACGTAAGAGAGCAACTTTTTTATGCTCTCAGAATAATGGTTTGTCAGTGTCTATCTCCGAGTGTTGCTGTGGGTGCCGATTAGAAACAATATTGAGGTCAGCAAGACTTTTCGACCCTGCTCAGAGTGGGGTTGTCAAGTCTGGAAATACTAAACAATCAGAGGAATACAATAAGTAAAATAAAATACAATGAGGAATCTTTATATCTATAGGGGTCTTTGTTATTTAAATATTGTGGTGCTCTGCATATGCACATACAGTAATAGCATTAAGACATCAAAAATATTTTCTAGTTCTCCCATATTAAGTCTCTGGGTTAGAGTTTTATAGCTTGAAGACACATTTAGTGCTGATTGGATGTAATTCATAGTACTTTTTTAATAGAAATGGCCACTTTGTTGACTCCTCCAGTAAAATAATTCAGCTCCCATTGGGGTGACACTTCCCATGACCATCTTGTTCTCATTCCTAGTTATAGAACTGGGTTTTCTTGCAAGCTCTCTGTGGATAGTTTTTGTCACCACACCTCTGTACACACTGCCTCACTCTTACCCCCTGCATGTACAATGTTTAATTTTGTTATTCCCAATCCTGACTGTCTTCTGCTACGTAGCACTAAAGTTCTTAAAAATTCTCTTTCACACAAATTCAATACATCTAAAAAAATATACTTATCCAAATACAGTATAGTACAGCACACTTTCAACCTGCCCTTCTACTTTACATTCATTCTCACACTCAAACACTTCCCTTTACTTACTCTTTCCATATACAGTACTTTCTTTTCTCAAGTTCTTACCTCTTTAATTTATAATTTTTTTTACTCATTGGCCACATCACTGACACTGTCATTTCCTTTCTGATTTCTTCAGTTACTTATGCCAGTTACTCTTCAGATTTTGTAACCACTTTATCTTAAAATCTATATGATTTGCTTGCCCCTACCAACTAATCTTACAAAACAATAAGACCCTTGTCGTTGACGCGATGAGTATAATTCAGTCAAAACCTGTTGAATGCAATTCGCATATAACAACTGCCGGTACATCAGGACACACAGTTTGAATAATATGATCAATATACAGTATATAATTACACTTATTAAAGTTATTTAGATTTCTCAGAGGATTCAACAGTTCACAATCACACTCACGTTTTTGGGTCTAGGGTTAGACCAACGAGAACAAATATAATGTCCTGCAGGAAGATGTTGGCTGACGAGAATCAAAGATGTTGCCTCTACAGTAGAAGGCGATAATCTGCCCCTCAGGCAGTCACACAGCTGCTACCAGCTCCATCTCGCTTAGTAAGCTATTCTGAGTTGTAAACAGTCTCTTCACTTAACATGTGGCCGGCGCGCACAATTGTGCGTGGCGATAACAGGATTAATGAATGGTGCATGATATAATTATATATTCAGTGCTCAGAATGTATTTAGGAATAATAGAGTGACAACTACCTGTGTTGGTCATCATTGGTGAATTAGTGAGGTCTAAAAGTGTCACATTAAACTAATTTGAGATTATGAGCTGTGGAATAATTCTGTACCGTACATGATAGTGTACTATGTGGATTTGTTCAGGATATGAAGAAGTACCGGTATTTGTGGTTATGTCTCTTTGTGGTTGTAACCTTTTCTTGACTTTTTCCACACTTGTCTTGCAATTTTCCTCCCTATTATTTTATCCCTTAGAGGTTTCTATATGCCTTAATCCATTCCACACTAAGTGGGAGAGGAGTAAATAATAGTTAAATGGGTAACATCCAGTACATTTGGGTTCCTTACCAAAGAAGAGTTATGCCAAACATACTAGTGCAGTTATCCCTTGATAATTGTCTTTTGCCATAACTTGCCACAATAGGGACGAACACGATATACAATTTAGAACTTATTCAAGATGCTGTTGGGTTATCTTTACATATACACAATACTGCATTTAACTGATATTGGTTTCCATTTGTTTCACAGAACATTTTCATTTCTAAGACACAGGTGAACAGCATTTCCAAGTTTCCTTCCACTATGTAGCAATGGGAAATAAGAGTCGGTTCTTGCTACTTAAAACAGCTAGAATAAGGACTTCTTTATAATTAACAAATGCATGAGACATATTATATTAGTAAGACCTCCCTCAGTCGGACTATATGGGGCTCAATGCTGTCTGCCTTATCTAGAATCCTGGCTTATGCATAACCTCTCTGCCGGGTGCATTCAATTATCATTTTGCTGAAAAATCCCTTAAAAAAAATTATAGCAGATGAATCTTGAGCGGAGGACATTGGGGGCCTGCTTACTCTTACAATACCTATATTCAGTGCTGGATTTAGACCTGTGGAGGCCCATGGGCAGCCTCTTTGTGGAGGCCCCCCTCATTATAACTACCCAAGAGGGTGGGGTGGCGAGTGAAGCGAGCCTAAACATTTGGGAGTTCTGGGGGACGCTGTAAGCCCCCGGGAAAATTTTGAAATTTGAATCACTTCTTTGGAGAATTTTGAAGCCATATGCAGTTATATTGAGAAAATTAAAACATTGAGAAATTTTTAATTAACTGTATATTTATTGATAGTGTACAAATTCCCAACACACACACACACACAAAAGTGAGACATGACTGGAGTCATTCATGTGGTTTCAAGTCGACCAGCCCAGATATAGCTACTACTGCACATGTCAAAAATTTTCAAGAGACTTCACAGAAAATAATATATTATTAGTTATTACAGAGAGATGATTCTTTGCATTTTTAATCAGATAAACCTCTACTCAAATAATGTTTCTGTCCAAGAATGCATGTATAGGCTTCTTTAAGTCCATAATGATTTTCAGCTGCAACTTTGGCTTGTAGACCATTGTACCTCCCACTCATAGATGTTGCATTATCTTAAGATTGCCCACGACAATTTTGAATGTCAATGTCATTGTCTGCAAGAAACTTCATCAAACCTTCAAACATTTCTTGAGCCTTGTGTCCTTGATTTGGCAAGAATTTCACAAATCTCTCAACAGGTGTGTCATGCTCCATGTATCTGATTATCAGAGTTAGTTCATCAATATGGCCTTAATCAGGGGTGGAATCTAGAGAAATTGAGTAATATTTTGAGAGCTTTATACGTAAGATAATTTCGTTCAGTACTTCATTGCCCATTAGTCTGACAATTTCTTCACAGATGGTTGAAGACAAATAGTTTGCATGACCAGTGCCACGATTAGCATGATTCTGGATGTGTTGCCTGAGGAAATCATCATACTCGGCCAAAAGCTCTAGTACAGTGACCCCTCGTTTAACGAACACCTCGGTTAACGTAATTTCGATTAACGAACTGCCTTCCATAAGGATCTTCAATTCGGTTAACGAAAAAAAATTCGCTTAACGAACTTCTTACGAACCGACCTCAACATGTTTTCGCTTGCACTGACCGGGCAACCAGCTTTAGTATCAGTCCGCCAATACATTAATCGGTTCTAGGGCTTAAATTCCTTACTATTTTTGTAAATATCAAGAAGTTTATACTATTCAATAATTTTAAAAGTTTAATATTCAATTTTTTAGTCATTTTAACAATTATTGAACGAAATTGAAGGTAAAGTGACTAGTTTAATGCGCGGCATCCAGCCTCTTAACACAGCAAACAGGCGTCAGTCTCTCTCTGTTTTCACTGGAGGTAACATCTTGCTTGAGACTCTCTTCAACTAAATGCTTTTTTTCTGTGTTTCCAAGCAAATTATTGGTCATTTTGAAATATATTTTATATATTGACAATATATAATGCAGTGCAGCATTGATTTAAAGAAAATAATCTTGAATTAAACCAGAGAGCTAAAATTTTATGG